CACTGAAACCCCCCCCAGTTCTCTATTTCTATCCCTCTGAAAACCCCACTCTACTCTAAACTGAAAGGAAGAGCAGAGGATTATCTGGAGACCAGTGTTATCTGTAAGTGGAGCCAATGTATAAACCCCATTATTCTTGAATTAATCATCATAGAGTAAGACTTCCTTTCTGAGCTTTACAGTTTAGGATGCTTATCCTTCCCTGGAGTCCCCTCCTAATGTGCTGGAAGTAATGATGTACACCCATATCCCATGTCCATTTTTGGATCCCTCTACTAAACTCAGCCCCACTACCTGCTTAATGGAGATATGCAAAGTCATGAGGGCTCCCTCAACCCTCAGCCTGCATGCACAGAGCAATTTTTAACGTTTATTGCATGCAGCAAGATCAGGAGTCAGTGCCAGTGAGCACTCTGTCCTCGAGGTGTTTTCAAGAACTAAGACCCAGCAAACCCAGTGGAGAGGAGAGTCTGAAAGCTGAGGATGCCAGACGGGGCGTTCACAGACCCATCGGGACCTGCCTGGAGGAAAGTTCCTGCATCGCTGACTCCTCAACAAGGGGCAAACGGTCAACAAGGGGTTATCATCTCCAAGCTGTCCCAGCTCAACAGCTGCTTGAGTCTAGTCTCTGTAGCCAGGCCTCAGCCCCAGACAGGCAACCTCTCCACTTAATGGCATGTTTTAATGGCAGCAGGGAGCAGAAGCAGGGATGGGAGGCGATTCTGGGGGCGGATCAGCTGGGGGTGCTTTGGGCTCACACCTTTGCTGCTGAGGGAGCCTCAGACACTGGAGGAGGCAGGTGCTCAGCTTTCTTTACAATGTTTACTCTTGTGCTTATTTTGCCATCAGGAAGCACTTCTAGCAGGCACACATCTTTGGCCTGTCACTGGCAGGCTGTGAGCCAACGTGTTGCCATGGAAACTGGTAAATGCAAAATTATTACTTGACAGCAGTGTCCTGAGAAAAAAGGATCAACCTTCTACCATATGTTTATGTCCCTGGCCCAGGGAGTGCTTGCCCCCCCTGCACCGCTGTGGGTGGGATGCCATCCTGTCACAGCTTCGTGCTGGACACAGGGTGCCAGGAGGCAAGGAAGGACTATGATCTCTGTGAGCACAGCAGGGAAATGCTGCAAGAGGCACTTCTCACTACTGCCAGGATCCCTCCACAGAGAGTTTTGCTGGGTGTTTGGTCTAGGGCTGATTGCTCTCTAGCTCTGAGGAAATAGCTCCCCAACAACCCTGCAAGACCCCAGCACCAGAGAGCTCAGGGTCCCACAAGCTGCCTGCCTGCAGGGATGCAGCGTCCACACAGGCAGGCTTCCCACGCCTGGCTGCAGAGCTTGGTGCAGACATCCCTCTGGGGCATCCCAGCTCCAGTACCCAGCAGTAAACAACTGCAGCCATGAGGCTGACAAGGGCCACAGAAGTACTGAGGGCAACAGAGCAAAAGGCAGGCAGTCCTGCCCTACCTCTGCTGCCTGCAAGCCCAGACAGCCCTTCCTGAGCAGATGGCTACGTACAAGCCTGTTATCCTGGATCTGCTGGTGTTTCTAGCCTAAGCCTCACACTGACCACCAATCTACCTCATCCAAAAAGAGCCATCAATCTGACAGTTATTATGAAGGAAGTCAACCATTTCGGGTGTGACTCTGAAATCAAAACCGAGAGAACAGAAATTAAGGAAGAGCAATGACAATGACCCATTCGAGTACTAACTGATTTTTCTAACTGATTTCTAGTGGCTTCTAATTTTAAATATTAATACTCTGTCAAGTCCATAATGAGAAGAGGTGATCTATTTTTCATACACACAGGCATAACATACGTTAGCAAAGAATTAGTTTCAAATTTTCCAAGGGGTCAGGCAGTTGCAAGCTGACTTTATTGCTGGTTAGGTGAGGATACATGAATGTAAGCATAGTCATGATTATGGAATAATTTTAATATACATCATATGCAAATATTCGATCTAGAAAACCATTTTAAAAATCAATTTAAATCAATTTCCATTGAGAACCCTTTAGCTTAGTCACTGGGGCCTGCTTCTCCTGGTGGTTTTGCATTGTCTGAATGAAGCAGTCCCTAGGATGACACTCACTGAGAGCAGCTGCTCAAGAACTTTGCTGCATGGGGAGTTTGGGGCAGCCACGATGGAGCTGGCTCTGGGTGCGGTGATGCAAGGTCTTGAGTGAGACAAGGCCTTGGTGGGTGACTATAGGCCCTAATCAGATAGCACCGTGATGTGCTCTTTCATCCTTGAAGTTGCCTCAGATGCTTTCAAGTGCACCTAAATCTAGGAGAGAACAGAGTAATTCCTCCCACATTTATACAGGCCCGCTGTTGGCTGGTGAGGCAGCTTGCTGAGTTTGGATAGCTTCTGTGTTCAAACCCCTAATCACAAAGCAGGATTCAACCCTGGACACCTGAGCTGCCTACAACCAGGCTACAGCTAACAGGGAAAGAGTGATCTTCCTGGGTCACTGGACACCCATCTCAGACGATACCAAATGACACAGCTACCCAAGGAGAGCCCCACCTACAAACCCAACATCTACCCTGTGCACTCCTTGCACCCCTGTCTCCACTACTCTCTGAGGAAACTGGGAATTTTGGTCACTCTCTCGAGCATGGTAAATGGACTGTGCATGGTGTTGTGACTCCAAGGAAACACTGCAGTGTCGCTCAGCAGTGACTTGGAGAGCACAGCACCACTTCTAGCCAGACGGTCCCCTGGACCCAGACACTCAGCATTAGTGAGCAGAGGCAAAGCAGCCCCATAGCATACTTACTTCCCATTCCCATACTTGATCCGGATGTCTTTGCTCTTCTTCAGCTCTTTGCCATCTTTAAACCATTTGTAGGATGGCTGAGGGTTTCCAGCAGTCGCCTCACATTTCAGTGAAATCTTTTCACCGACATGAACATTTGGGCTTTTCAGTTTCTTCAGTTTGGGAGGGACAGCTACAAAAAGAGAAACCAGACAATGTGAAACCTGCCTCTTTCAGAGGCTGCGCACAAGCGATGTGAGTCCACCAAGCCCCCTCCCATGGGAAAAGCGTTTGCTGCCCCTGCTACCGTGTGATGGCTGGAGAGGGGCTGCATGCCAGCTCGACTACCCAGGTTTTACCAGAACACAGGTAGGGAAGGAGCACAGAGTCAGGAACATTCACATGGGGAGCAGAGGGAGCCCCTGGGTCTGGCTTGCTCTTTTCTCTCCTACACATAGCCAGATTGGACTGCTCCATGGTTGTCCTTACTCATGTAGGCAGGACCTGCATGTCTCCTGCTAGCTTAGGGGTTTGCTGTGCTCTCCAGGCTCTTCCACCAGGCCAGACCCACAGACTCAGGAGCTCAGGTTCTTTGAAGACTATTTTTCCCTGCATCCTGACATTGCTGCCAATGATTACCAACACATACATGACCTCTGCCACTGCCAACAGGCATGCTGCCAGTCCCACAACCCCACCAACCACAGCCAGAGCATCTTGCTGCACAAGGAGCAGAAGCAGGTCACAGAGAGTGGTCCCCTGTCCCCCAGCAGTGTGTGCCATGGATGCTCTGTGCCTGCTGCTAAGAGGGACAGTCATTCAGCATGACAGCATCAGCAGCAGATCAAGAGCCACTGAGAGGGGCTGCAATGAAAACCTGCACATATAAAGGATAAAAGGGGAGGGACAGCTATTCTTCATGTTGCAGTTAGAAAAATGAAAGTATAAAGCTATTTAAAATGGCCTTAAGATCTTCAGTGTCAGGCTGGCCAGCAGCCTTTCCAGTCAGAAGCCTGGCTCTGCATGTGAGCTTTCATGGGTGTTTCAGAGCGGTGATTTTAACCATGCACCTGGAACATGAGGCAAAGAGGGAGACACTTCTTATCAATCTCTGCCAGGCTACATATTAAACCTGACAAGAAAGGATTATCAGGCTTGCAATTTTTCTTTCAACTGACAGGTCTGCACTCTTCTAGCTCCCCTTTTCATTCTCAGAATTAACCTTAAAATAGAAAACAGCAAGTTGCTGGCTTTGTCTTAAGAATGTTAGTAACAATGGTTTCCACTTGTCTAAGATGTGTTACAGATAAAGTATTTCCTCTGTCTAATATAAACAAGCCATCTTTTAATTGCCTTGTGCATTCTGATCTTGCGATATGGAAGAGCAATCAAAGGAGGAGGAACTGGATAGGTTGCATTAGAGCAATCGCTATTTTATAGATCTTCATACATCTCCATTCATTCTTCATGCCAAACCAAGTTATCATAGGCTGCTTTTTTTATTTAAAGACTGTTTTCACTGAAAGTGACCTTGCACAAAATAAAAAGCACAGCAATCATCAGGCGTATGCTCGTGTGGTAGGTAGACTTCAATTTTGCTTTGTTTCATGTACGAGGGTATGAGAAGCAAAATTGTCCTTAGTTGAAAAGATACAAATATGGGCAGAAATGGAACAATGCTGGGTAACACAAATTGTCTGGGCAAAGCTCACACTGACTGAAATGCAAACCCAGAGATGTCTGCAAGCATGAGAGGAGAGTTGTCTGGCAGCACAGGGGTGGGTAATGCAGCAGGTCTGGTCCCAAGCACGCCAGACCTTGCGCTGACTCTGAGCTGCACAGCTCCATGGGCACCAAGGTACAGAAGCAAACTTAAAATCCAGTAGTGCAAAGCACACCAAGGAAAAAAAGAATAAATCCCATCAACTGTTCTTCCTGACTGATATTTTTGCATCTCAACCCTGCTGCAAGCTCCATAGAAACCTGTGCCACAGGATGGGGAGGGCTGCAAATGTGCTACTGGGGCAGGGACAAGAGAAAAAACTTGGGACAGCTGTAGGCAATTGCTTCAGGCTGCACACTGATGTCTTGCAGTGTTGCCCAGGTCACTGTGCTTTGGCATAGACAGAGACACTTCTGAACAAAAACTATCTGAGTTTTCCCCAAATTTCAGGAGTTCTGTGAAAATCCAAGGTGTCCTGGGTTTTGTGAAGCCAGTATTGCTGATGCTTGCCTGGAAATGGATCACCCAGAAGAGCAGGAAGGCAATGAACGGTGAAGAGAGCTTGTCTCTTCTCAGAACACTGTGCACAGAGAGCCGGGAAGGTAAATAGGACCTTGCTTTTATAGGGGTCATTTTGGGGAATAGAGAAATAGACTCTGTCAAATATTTATTCTGTCTGAATGTGTGTTGGTTGGCTCCTGTTGTACACTGAGGTCACCCTGTACCATGCCAACAGTATACCTTAAATATTAAATATGCCTTAAATACTGGGAAGGTCCTGACCTTGGCATTGGTGCATCTACTATTTCCAGGCTTGTGGGCTGCACAATTATGAAGCAGGCAGCATGGCCTGTGAGAACAATGTGTCAGCACTGTCCCTCTCCCCAGAAAATGCTGGCAAGAGCAGAGCAAAGCTCAGAAACCTGGTGATTGTTGAAGGAGAGGGCCAAGGACAAGCAAGAAACCTTCCAAGATCTCTATTCATTGGTTCCTCCTCACTGACATGAATCACACCTCGTGCAGACATATGCATCTCTTGCCCCTTGTGCTCTTGGTCACCAGTGATAAATTACATGCCATTCCTAAACAGGCAGGTCCAGAGACATATGCCACGCATGGCAGAGATGGAGCTGACACTCACACAGGGCAGGGGCTCTACCTGCATCACACCCCTCCAGCAGAGGGTCCTGCCCAGAAAAAGGGAGGAGAATGTTTCCTCCTCAGATTGCATGTTTTCTGCTGTCTTACCACAGGAGGGAAAAGGACAGTGCATTCAGCTCATAAGCCGCACTTCATGGACTGTAACTCTCCCATTGAATCGGACAGGCTAGTGAAGGGGGAATCCAATCCAGAAATATTTTGGACTGTGTCTGGGAAAAGCACTGTGCACAAAGAAACAGAGCTGTGCTCCCTGACACCCAGAACATCTGGGCATTACTGCTACACTCAAGCATGGCTTGTGTTTGGACAGCATCATGGGAAGAGCAGGCAGAGCCCCAAGCCAGGGGACGCAGCATCCACAGCCACGCACAGGCTGCACCACTCGAAAGGGAAGCCTGCAAGATGCCTTGGTCTCCTGGAAGAGCTGCTCTGGACTGGAAAGTCTCTCTTCATAATTCCTGCATCTCCTGAGTAAAATATAGAAATCCTCTATTAGAGACATTAACTGCTGGCAAGTCTGCTTAATGCCAGCCAAAGTCCTTCCACTGTTTTTTATCCATATTGTTTAAACTGCAGCCCTTATTCCTAGCTTGAATTTCTCTAATTTTGGCTTCCAGCCAAGAGATCTCTCTGCCTTTCTCTGGTAAATTTGAATCCCATCTAGCAACCAGAAACCTCTTTCCTTTTTAGGTTCTTGTAAACTATGAATGAATCACCTTTCAACCTTCTCCAGCAGTAAACTAAAGTAGCTTGAGAGACCAAAGCAGCGCACAGAGTGCTAATGCTGTAGTATGTCAAAGACAAAGTTTTACATTTTGGTTCAATTTCAGCTTCAACATCAAGCCCTTTCCTATCTCTGCCCTGTCCAAATTACAGAGTTGCAGCTCAGAAACTCACGCGCTCGGTTCAAACACACATGAAGATTTTAAAAGTGCCCCCTTTCTTTAGTGCTCTGAAATTTTTGGTCACTTTGTCAAATATACTGGGAGAACAAAGTCACTAGCTACATACATACCAAGATAACATACAATCCCTGGCAAACAGTCTCAGATGTATACCAAGTGGGATCCGGGTCCAATTTCCTCACATTTCCCCCAGCTCCCAGCTTCCCAGCCTCCTCCACACAGGTTATTGCTTCTCAGATGTAGCCAGCACACCTTTTGTCAGAGCCAAAACACCGGACCGTGGCCACCCAAGTCACCCCATCATTGTGGCGCAAGCTGAGCTGAAGCTGCTATTTCAGCTCTTCATCATCTGCATCTCATGGCTCTGCTCTGCCAGCCTGGAGTCTCCTCCACAGCTGGTTCAGCAACACACACTGCCCAGCCACCACTGCCGCTGGGTTCATGAAAATGGGGAGGAGGTTTTTGGCTGTGCTTGTCAGACTGAGTCTACAGGTAGCTTCAGGCAATCATTTAGGTCACCTTGCAATCCTGACAACCCCTCCTCTATCCAAATTCAAGTCTCCTCTCCACAGGCATCAAGAACCACCAAACTCACAAAGTCTGAGGTATTTGACAGAAGAGGAAGCTGAACTCCAGGCAATTTTCTAACAACCACATGAAGAGTATGCTGTGCTGCAGAAGGGAAAGTTTAATTCTGGTAGAGCAGAGACCAACAATAAATACAGATTTTCTACAGGTTTTTGCTCACTCCACAGTCAGATGAAACCCAAGCAACCATTAGATGCCAGCCTACATAACTGAAGGCTGTTAAGAACTAACCCTAAAATGTGCTGGGGCTGGGATCAACAAATGCACATAAATTCTTAACCTGTTTCAAGAATCATGTTTCACTAAGAGACCTTTGCAGGAGAGGTTTGCCCTCTGACAGCAGTCCTGGCATCTACTGCCAAGTTACTACCTTCTCACAGAGGGGAGAGGGTTACAAAAGTCTAAAAATTTGAGCTGCAAATTGGGTAATCTGAGTTGGTTGAACATCCACCATAAAAGAACTTACAATTATACACTGCTTTAATTAATTCACTTCTGACTAAATTTGATATTACACTGAAGTACCTTGATGATAACAACACCTCTTTTACTTCTGGTACCTGAAAGCACCTTAGACCCTCAGCTCAAAACATCATTAACCATAAATGGGCAGAGTGCCCAAAGAGAGTACCACAATGGTGCAGTAACAAAACCACATCCCACCCACAAAACATCATCCGTAAACAACCCCTCGGCAGCATAAAGCAGAAGCAAGTCATCCTGGGAAAAGTGCTCAGGGAACTCTTTAACAGCCAGCAACACTAGTCACAAACACTGCTTCAAGAGATGTGTCTTGTTCACTGTGGGAGATCCTCC